TTTCCAACGACTTGGATGATGATCTCAGCCGATTGGCGATTGTACACATACGCCGCGCTGTTTTCATTTTTTCTGTTTTGTTTCGTTGTGTTTTTAAGATGAAGCCCACCTGATACAATGACGAGCTTGCACTTGGTGGGGCTAAGACGCTTTCACGAAATGCGTCGAAGGCCGCTCTTGGCTTAGATTTTAATTTTATAAGACGAAACAGCCGCACTCGGGCGTCCGGCCTTCGCCAGCGGATCTCGTCTGCTCACGTGCCACTTGAATTTCTATCCGATTGCACAACTTGTATTTCCTCGTGGCAATACTTTCACCGACCGCGCAATAGCCTCCGTGGGGGGGGGGGCACGAAATTTCTCGCACGGCACTTACTAATAATCAGTATTAAACGTTCGGATTCACGCAACAATCACTTCATATTCTTCGTTTCTTCTTCCTGTCATTACCTTCCAAATGTTATTCTTTACCGCGCGTCGTGATATGGGGTGAGGGACGGCGAGAAGAGGAGGGGAAGGGGCGAAGACGAGCGCGCGCACCGGGACGGTTATGATAACGAGACATAATAAATAAAGCCATCAAAGTATTGACAGCTACTGCAACTCGTGACGGTATTCGAGGGAGGGGAGATATCGATACGTTCTAAATAGCTGTGATACTCCCAATTTGAGCAACATTTTTTTTTTTTTTTTTTTTTTTTTTTTTTTTTTTTTACCAGAGCAATATATAATATATTTTTTATAGTTTGTTTACACAACTTTTACTTTTGTAAGTGGGTATTCTGGTTGAAAGGAATTTTTTCTTCACTTTATTGCGCCGGAGAGATTTACTTATTTTCTGAATGTTATATATGTATATATATATATGTGTGTGTATATATATATATATATATATATATATATATATATATATATATATGTATATATATATATATGTATATATATATGTGTGTGTGTGTATATATGTATATGTATGTATATAGGTATGTATAAGCAACCGGAAAGCTGTTAATTAAAAAATTTATCTCGATATTTACACGTGCCCACCCGTCGCACGCATTCAAAGCAATACAGAAAGAAAGAGAGAGAGAGAGAGAGAGAGAGAGATATCACATAACATAATTTTGAATTAATATCTACATGTTTGGGTTGCGTGTGTGAGCATTTGGTAAATTCTTAATTCTGTATATTTATCGTAATAACGTCACGTTTTTCAAAAGACATTTCTTTTACAAAGGAAAACAATACTTGCTTATATTTGACATACATTATAGTCATTTATTATGGCCCATACCGTTTGAAATAAGTATGAAAAAAAAAAAAGAAAAAGAAAGATGAAAAACAAACAAAAGCAAAAAAAAATCGCGTTTTAGATTCAACATAAACAATAAATTTTATCAATTTTTCCCGTACCTTAAATGATGTTTAAGAAAATATTAGGTTTAATTTATTTACACTTGTATTATTTTTTACGCTCTTGGTGCAAGAATATAAATAGAGCTTAAGTTTTAACAATACAAATAAATATTTTCAAGTTTATGTAATAACAAAATATAATTTTTCAAATGTACATTAATTACATATGAACATAAGAATTATCGTTAAAGATCAAATTCTCACAAAGTATATATTACACAGTGCATGCGTACATTATTATACACGTATATGCTCTGTGTGTGTAAATGTGCACGAGGATGGGGCTAGACTTTATTAAAAAAACTAAAAGAAAATTTCTGTGGCTATATTATTATTATTATATATATGTCTTGCCCATTACTGACGCGAGATTTTGATCTGCTCTTACCTCTTGTAAATTCTTGTAATTTTAAATGTATTTTGTTAACAATAGACTTATATATAGTAGTAGCTAATAAAACGACTGAAAGTATTTCTTTTTTTTTTTTTTTTTTTTTTTTTTTTTTTTTTTTTTTTTTTTTTGAAATAAGACAATACTCTCCTAGTTCGCGAAGCTTTTGTATTATTGTTGAAAAAGGAAGATTTTCGACATTTTTAACCGACCTGAACGATAATCATTAAATATTGAAAAGAGCAATGAAAGACTTTTAAACGATGTAACTTTTTATATATATAGTATTTGCTCGATTTTCGCAAACACAAGACACGAGTGTAAATGTGCAGATAAGTTAACCGGAAGAATGTACGAAAACTGAGTTTTAGATGACGGGTGAAAATCATCTGTAGAACCGTTAATTGTATAACTTCGGATGTAAATTATTTGTGCTACGAGTTTCCATGTAATTGTATTTACAATTAAACGATTTAAACATTTTAAGAGTTACATAATACTCGTATTATTGGCAAAGCAGCTTTAAGTCGAAAGTTCTGCGGATGATTTTTTCCACTTTTTTAAAATAATTATTATTATTATTAATAGGGAATTTAATTAAACAAAAACAAAAACAAAAACAAAAAAAAATAAAAAAAAAATACAAAAAAAAAAATAAATAAATGAACCTTTATACTTTTAACGTACGAGAATTCTCAAAGCTTCTTACGCTCAATGACGTTAGCAATGATTTTTGCTAACAGCAAATAGTTATAAAATAAAAGGAAGAAATAATGTAAAGCCATTGCGATAAAGCGCACTAACCATCATAACGTCGCTTCGTTGTTTTTAGCTCAGTATTTTTGTATTTACATGTACTATGTGTAACAAATGAAATGTATATTTAATTATTTTTAGTTTTCTTACTGCTGCGGTGATATATTTTGTACTCAACGTGTCGTGAAACGAAGATAAGCAAACAATAACCGAAGGGATGTTCGTTTTCCTTGTTTCCCACCCCCCCCCCTTTTTTTTTTCTTCATTATTATTATTATTATTATTAATATTATTTTTAATTTTATTTTTTGTTTTTTGTTTATTGTTTTTGTTTTTAATCTAATCCTAGGTGCAATCGAGTGGAGTCTGTATTCAATGTAAAGAAAAAGTTCAATCGCAAGAAAGATAATAATAATAATTAAACGTGTTGTGCACATGAATTATGATATCTCGAAAATTTGCATCTTCGTCAATTCTAATATGCGTTCTTAAACGTAATTTTTATACCGCTTATTTTTAATAATAATGTACGTAAACTTAAATAAATATTAGTTTATACAAACCGTATTTCCAGCTGATTTTTTGTCGTTGTATAGTATTCTTCATATATATATGATGTTTGCGTGAAAAAATATCGTCGGCTTTGTCCAGGTTATCGTACCATGAAATGTCAGATGTTGTTTTGGCAAAATTGAAGTTTAAGCAAATTCGACGATTATTTACCGTCATATTTTTTCTTCTTTTTTTTTCTTTTTTTTTCTTTCTCTTTTTTTTTTTTTTTTTTTGTTTTTTTTCTTCTTTTTTTTTTTTTAATTACGTCGATATTTTACATCGTTCATTTTTCGATTTTCTAGCATTAATCCTAATTTTACAATTGTATATGATGTATTTTATAACACGAGAAATATTAATGTATTCGTCAACTTGTGTTAAAGAGATGGTATTTACAGATAATATAAAACTAACAAATAATACTTTGTGCATAATTTATTAATGAGAAACAAAATCAAACAAGAAAAAGAAAAAAACGTTTCAAGTATAATAACTATTTGTCATGTGGACGAAAGAAAATATTCATCTACATCGACGTTAACTTCTAGCTCGATAAAATTTAAAATTAACCACCAAGTCAATAATAAATCAATGTCATACATACATTATTAGAATTAATAAAAATTCTAACTCTTAATTATCACTTTTTCTTTTTGTTTGTTTATTTGTTTTGTTTGTTTGTTTGTTTGTTTGTTTGTTTTGTTTTTGTTGTTGTTGTTGTTTTTTTTTATCGATGGTAAATTACATATAAATGTTTTAAAAGTTTGAGAATCTGACAAGCTTATTTTTTCTCATGAAAATTTTGGATTTTCTAGGTGGAAATTGTACTTAAAAATAAATCTAGAAGAGGAAAATGTTGCCTCTTTAAATTAGCAGCTATTTTTCATCATCGATCCTATGAAGAGAGATGACATTTGAAATCGCTGTAAGGTTTTGACAATCGAAATAACGATTATAGATGCGCGCGTGCGTATGTTTAGCGGCTGAAATAATGTTTTTAATTGATTGGCTCCTGGCAGTACTACTAAGCAATAGCGTTAGCAATGCCAATGAAAAAAAAAGAAAAAAAAAAAAGAAGAAGCCAAGTAAGCAATGGTTATTTTATTATTGTTATCGTCGAAAATTATCGTTATCGTATTACCATCATCATTATTGTTGTTATGATTAGTAATGGGATACGACGAATCATAATACCTCCCTATTAATGCAAAAAGTTATAATAATTAATATAACGCCTGGTGAGTAAAAATATCGGACAATGTAAACTATTTAATAAATGGCTATAAATTTTTATAAACAAAGTTTGTCGATAAAATGTACGTGAAATGATAAATATATCGCGTGGGTAGAATGTTATGTGCGCAGCCTATATTTAACAGCTAAATTTACGAGTATTGGAGCTCTTTACATTCTATCCTCTTCCACGCTATCATTTGGACTGCCCGAAAGTGTTCCACGTGTGTATATTTATGCATTTAGTCGCATGACTATCGCTTTACAAAAACACGAAATAACATTCGCTGGCAAAATACATTTTTCATGAAAGAAAAAGAAAAAAAAAAAAAAAAATACGAAGAAGCCCAATTGACGAGGCCGTGGGACATTCTTCAACTTTTTGTTGTTACTGATTTTACGATTTATCAAGCCAATAATCATTAAGATAATAAGGATTAGCGTATCATCTTCTTTCATCTATCGCTATCGTTTTTGTAATCGCGACAATGAGTAAGGGGAGGAAACGTTAATGATCGGAGATGAACGATACGTCATTGGCTGCCCCCGTGGCCTTACATACTTACATTATTATAATAAAATGTCGTGTTTGTTTTTTTTCTTTTCTGTTTTTTTTTTTCTGTTTTTTTTTTCTGTTTTTTGTTTTTCCTATTTTTTGACGATATAAACTTCACGAATACCATCGCCGACACCGCAATTCGTTAAAAAGCCATTTTCGTGCCAAGGATCGATGGAACGGCCAACGTCGAGGAATCGCCAAGCCCCCGTCAGTCGACGACCTCCACGAGTATATCCTGGAGGGCCTTGCGCTTGAGATCGGGCACGGTCGCTGCTTCGGCCGGGTAGCCGACGGGAAGTAGGATGGCGAGCTTCTCGTTAAGGGGCCGCTTCAGGAGATGACGAAGCGCCGGTCCGCAATTGAGGGGCGTGGACGTGAGGGTGACGAGGCCGGCGTACTGAAACATAACGTCGAGTTAAAGGGCGAACGACGCGGATTTACCGTATGACCTGCATAGACGAGGCACCGGGAAGTCGCCGGGAGGGATTTATTTGATTGTCGAAGCCGCTCGCTTCGTTTCGTATAATTGGATAATGCGTGGCTTGCTCGCGTGCTCGCCTCGGCCTCTAAAATTTCATTGTCTTCGTGGACAGCGATCGCAGGGCATCGGCGAGTCAATCGTGGCGGAAGTAGGACGAGTAGGGTTGGGTGGGTTGGCGCGCTTTCTCAAACTTAAGAGACGGTGGTCGGGCATGTGCTTAGAGATCTCCGAGGGGCATAATAAGGGGGCGACGAGACAAACGTTTGACGGATCGATCGAAACGATCGAAAAATCGAACGTTAAAGCGCACGATACCTTACCTCGCGCCTTATAAATGCTCGAGATTTATAAATATGGGCCTTTAAAGTGGTCCTATAATTTTCGGGACTGATCGAAGATTAAGAAAGTATTATTAAATTCGTAATCGCTCGCGTTTTTTGTTTTGTTTTGTTTTGTTTTGGTTTTTTTTTAGAATCGCCACAATGAATGAGCGATGCATGATAATTTATGAAATTGAATTAAGCCGCGGTCGCGCACAAAAGCAATTATTACGATTCTTTTCTTGGCGATTACGATCTTTATAAAGAGGACGGTTTGCCCACGCCGCAGGTAAGTACCGAATTATCGTTCTTTAAAGCCTCTATCACGGCCATATATCATAACGAAGGAAAGGAAGATAACGTCGAGGAGCGTAATGAGGATTCATCCGTTTAAGAGATGTCGTCGATGCGCCGTCTCTTGCGCTCCGATCGACCCACATTTTCTTCACGCTTGTGTGCTGTGCAGTGCTCGTATACGCGCGCCACACCACTTCACCGCCTCACCGACAATCAACAAATAGACCGAAGAATCCTAATGTCCTAGTCCCAATGACGTCCTAACGTGTAGAGATATCGAGCAGTCGAGGAGGGGCCGATTGCTATTGCATTAGGATCGATGACAAAATGCAGCTCGATGTTGCTCACTCGCGATCACGCGTCAACGCCCTTTAAGCTCTTTTCTACGATTTCGACAAAAAGTCGGCCATTACGCGGCAGACATGTTAATCGCGCGTTAATGCAACAACGCCACTTTGTCGAGACCTTCGGAGGTCATTGAATGCACGGCAAGTGGATTTTAATTCTTTCTTTCAAGCTTTTGTTTCGTTTTTTTTTTTGTTTTTTTTTTTGTTTTGTTTTGTTTTGTTTTGTTTTTTTTTGTTTGTTTGTTCGTTCCCTAACCGCTGCCATTGTGTCCCTGAGCTCGTCTCCTTTCGCGCGACTCTTTCTGCAAAACCAGCTTTGCAGACCGTTGTGTCCTGTTGTCCGGGCCTGGGGCTTATCTGCGCGCGCGCGCGCGCGCGCGCTCCACCGCCACGTACGAGCAGCGATCATGACAAAGCGCGGATCGTGATAATGGAGAAAGAAAGCAAGAAAGAACGAGAGAAGTAGTAAAGAAAAAAGAAAACATCGTCGGATTTACAAAGCGAATCCATCCCTCAATGGATTTTCGCAAATACGTAACATGTAAAGCATCGAATACAGCGCGCGATTCGCAAAGCTGCGCAATCTAGATCTTATCGGCCGCGGGCGCTTTATTCGCGTTAAATTAATTTGATTATTATTATGCGTAGAAGCACCGTTGCAAATATTCTTTACACTAATCAATACCGAGCGGTTATAAACTCCTGGCAATTATTTTAAGAAGCTATCATTCATTGGGTGCGATATGATTAATGTTGACAATTTTTAAAGCATCGAGAATGTTATTTTGGCAAAATTAATATTAATCGTTTGGCATTGGGAGAAGCGGATTATTGCCAAGTAATTTTTATATTTATTCCACGATATCATAATGGAGCACAATTCATACTTTTTGTGTTTGCTATGAAAATTTATACAGTCTTGAATAAAAGTTTTGTAACGTAGAGTGCGCTGTGCGCGAGCACGCGCGCACACCCATGCAATGAGTAAAATGAATGAACGTAGCGCAGATAAAGCGAACGTTGCTGGTTAAAACGTAAAGTAAAATAATGCGAAATGCATGCTTTGCGAGCTTCGTGGCCTAATGTTACTTTACAAGTCAAGGACTACTTACACAAAATGCAAAATGTCAAAAGTAATGAGTGAATTTGATTAACATTTTTTTTTTTTTTTTTTTTTTTTTTTTTTTTTTTTACGACTATCAAGTTTAACTAGTAGGCAAATTCTTGCCACTGGGACGACGTTTCATTGCTTATTTTATGTGGCTGAGGGCGTACAAGTAAGCATGGAATTTAATTAGCCCGACCTATGCCCATTGAGCCAAAACACCATAAGATTTTCTCAATTCGTAGCTTAACGACGGACAGCTTTCCCGTGCGTGCAATTTGATTGACGTCTACGCTCTAACCACATATCTCTATATACACACGCGCAGGCGCGCGCGCGTCACCTACATTGAACAAGTGAAGAATCACGAAATTACCCGCGTGAAATCGATTGGCTCTCCAGCCTCCCGAGCACTCACTCTTATTATCCGTAAAGTGTTGGCCAGCCTCTTCGGCTTTATGGCGAACGTAAAAAAATCATCGTTTGTTGCGGCTTATGGAAAATCCGGTGCCCTCGTCTCAGTATTAGCCTTGTCGAAAGTCGTTTTCCATCTGCACTTGGAACGAGCCTCCGCGCGCATTATAAACTAAGACTTACGTAATAATAATCATAATGACAACAACAATAAAAACAATGCCAATGCTTAGGTAAATCGGTTGAAATTCGCGGAGTTGGTTTCCCATTTAATGTGCGCGGGACTCGTTTTTTTCCTTTCTTTTGCATTTTAACGATCGAGCTTTATACGCCGCGACGATTTACGTTAATAAACATCGCCGGGGATTGTTTTTCCAAAGTATAGATAAATAGGCCACTCGTAAACGTCGAGTTTTCAGTATCGGCTCGATACATTAATCTGTTTTCCACTAGCTCGCACGCGCTTTCTCTACTACCTCTCGCGCCTCAATGTTTAAAACATTTTATGGCCAATACGAAGAAGCATTGTCTTTTAAATTTTTTTTTTATTCGTATGCAATGCAATCGGTCGAGCCCAATTGGTCGCCCTTGAATTGTCGAATGCGTTCGACCAAGCAACTGCGCTGCCCCTTGGAAATCCCGACGGATTGAGAATCTCCGATGAGATATCGATCATCCAGGATATTCAGAGATGGTAGCAATAGCCTGCGCGAGGATTTCCGATATGCGACAAGGTTTGACCCTGAACCGTCGCCCCTGTCCTGTTTCCAAGCGTGCGCAAAAATTGTCAAAGCCGTCGTTGGCAATATCGGAGTGAGAAAGCGCTGGTTGGAAAAATCATAGAGCCCACCACTAGCTTTTTACGGTACATTAACATTATCCTACCTTACGCAGATGATTATTTTCCAAGAGTCTCGAAGCTCGAAGCCAAGTGCACTCGATCAGCCGCACATTACGTGTATTATTGATTTTATCGCCAGCCGTAATGCACCGATAAGTAGTGGCGTAAGTGCCGAGTGAGTTTTTAATTGACAATTGGAATGAAAGTTTGGTTCCTGCTTCGTGTCGGGAGAAGCGACATTGCCGAGGAAATTCATGTAACCAATACTTTGTATTTTCTTTCCCGTTTATTAAATAATTCATTCGTTCATCATATACGATAGTTACACATTTACATGTGCAAATCCATGGTATTTTTTAATTATAAAGTTTTACCCCAATGCTTAGTCTCTCTCTCTCTCTCTCTCTCTCTCTCTCACTCTCTCTCGTTGTAATCAAAATGCTCCTCGACATCTTCCTAATCGTCAACGATTTAAGCTCAAATAGACAACTTTGCGACACAAGCAACTTGCACATTCGAAAGAGAATTTTTGAGATGAAAGTATGCCCGCTGTTGTTATTATGCACTCCCTTTCCCTTAAATTTCTCTTCGAATTCTCGGATTCGCGAACCTTGTATCTTGTATCTCGTCAAACTCAAATTCAAACTTAGCTTACTTTACTTTATGTACTTTATCGATATACTGCTATCGCTTACATTATGTAATAAAATTTGGTACGCCGAGTCATTTGCTTAAGGACTTAACAGCTCGGCCATCGCTATAGCGAGGCGATGATTCCGCCTTATAATCCTCCTTATTGCGATAACGAATATGAATATTAATATTATTATAGCATTATCACGTAAAATTCGCGTTTAATGCATCGATACGTACAATCTCAAGTTGTAACTATCGAACTTTTCGTGATGTTAGATGCCTACTCGGGTACCTTGCATTATCCGTCTAATGAAATTATGTATTGAAACTTAAAGCACTATAGGCAAAAAATGCACGATAGATATTTTTTTTTGCTTCGCACATAAGTGCAAAGGCAGAAATTGTAAATAAAATTCTCGTATATTAATGATAGATGAGTTTTTTTGATTTTTTTTTTTTTTGTTTTTTTCTTTTTTTTTTTTTTTTTTTTTTTTTTTTTTTTTTTTTTTTATGTAATCTCTGCGCTGCTGCCAAACCTTACGGCGGTTAAATTGTCTCGATTTTCACATCAACGTTTGAATAAACCGTAATCGACAGTTACTCGCACTGACTGCGCACATACGTTTCACTCTTACCTTCCTGCTAAACTTTATTTTGATACTGTGACTTAACGTAAATATACTTATTCCGTACTTATCTAGACTTAAATATTAAAGAACTTATACTACAAAGTGAAATGTACGATCATGAATTTGGATAAAAGCTTATTGAGGTAAGTGAGTTTGATATTAGCGCCTTAGAGAAAGTATCGTTTATTATTATAACTGAAATATTCAACTAAGATATGGAAAATAAATGATAATAATGATTTTTCATTTCTTATCTTAACTTCGAACCAGCCACTTTCAGCTGGAAAAGAACTTTTTTCACACCCTCCACTTATACAAATTACATAA